ACAGTTTTCTCTTTTAAAGAGTATATTTATAAATGAACACCTTTCTTCAGACTCAAAAAAATGAAAAAGATTTTTTTCTTTTGATTTTCATGTTTATGTTCTGAAGTCTATGCTTGAAATTTGTTGGAGTCATTTATTTATTGTTCATCCTCTTTAATAGTACTACTTTGTATACTTCAATTTTCACATCGAACCTTTTAAAATTAGGGTCTACAAATGGTCCAAATAAGTCATTCTCCATGGATCAGTGTAGGATTCAGTATCGCATTGTTTTTTTTAAACATAAACTTTGTTATATGTTCAATGATGGTATGTTATGATTTGATCTTAATGCAACCAACAATTATGGGTTTTTCTTATTCATGATAAGGGAGGGTGCATAATGATCTTGTTCTATCTGTAGCATAAATTTGTCACACTTTACTATGTGCAAAGTGATTATAAATTGTCCTGTACTTCACGTGAACTCTAGTTTTACATTTGGGAGTTTGATCAAAACAATCATAATTAAAAAGAAACATTGTAATTTGTTCTCTTCTATGTATGCTATCTCAAAATCTTATTGAGAATAGCATAATAATCCATGAAGACAACACTAAAGTTATTACCTTGACACAAACACCTTTGCTCATTATTTTATTGCAAGACTGGTGGTTCATTGTGGGGAAGAAAAAACCATTTACGAGGTACATTGATGTGTTTGGGCCTTCTTTTATGGCATAACATGTCAAATACCACCTACTTGGAACCTAAGGATTTTTTAACCTATATTATTTAATATATTTACAACAAAATTAATACACGATAGTGATAGAAGAAAAAAACATTATTTCATAATAAAATGGCTATTATAATAAAAATTATGTTATTTTTAAACTAAAGCAAAAACTTCTACTGAATCATCTCATATATCTATTAGTCATCAAAATTTTCTTCTAGTTGTCCACAAACATGTTAACAACGTCAATTAGGTATACAAGATATATATATATATCCTTAATACTACTAATATTTATAAACTCACTTGTTATATAATATATTGATATTTATATTATAAATCACTTATACTATGTAAGATTTGACCTCAATTTATTTAAGGAGAATATAGATAGTTGTTACTCGCACTCTAAATATGATTAACCATTAGGTTCTACAGATATCTTGTACACGACCATAACAATTGAATACTGAGATTGATCCATTTCTCATGACTAATATTTTTATTATTCATACCTACTGCTTAACCTTTGGTAATTACGCGTAATTCAAAATATTGGCTTATAAAAATTATTATCTCTTATATTATGTATGCATTGCAAATAGAGCCTTAGTTCGAGCTTTGCTTATTTTTTCTCTTGTACCCAAACTTGCACCTAAGGGGTTCTATAAGTCCACTGATAAAAGTGATACCTTTAACTTTAAGATGATTTTTTGGTGTACTTTGATTGGTAAAGACCCAAGTCAACCTTTCTTAGAAGCTTGAGAATGAAATATCAACAAGTAATAATGGTAGAAGCTTCATAATGTAGCTTAGAAATTTGCAACAAGTAGAGACGCACGGGAAGAACTAGATAAGCCGTCGTTGGGGCAAAATGGAGGGAAAAATTTCAGTTAGACATCTAATAGTGAGTTGTATAATGCTAATAGAGTTACATA